AATAATATAATGACTTAAGAGATAACAAGAGGCACCCAAGTCATTTATTATTTCTGCCCACCTTTTTTATTTCTTTCTATCAGCTATTTACTTTCATGAATTTAATGTTGGTGGGCAGGATATGACTTGGCTGCCCCAGATATAGCATTTTAATTTAATTTATGTATCTTTTATTATTAAAATGCTATATCTATGTTTATTATAATTCATGGATTTCTTCTTTAATACAAAAATCTCTTAATAAGAAGAAATCCATACATTTATTTATTATTTATATTTTCTGGCTTTTGGATTAATATTAATTTCTATTTCCAAAAGCCAGGGGAAATTTTTCTTATGTATTTATTTTATTGAAAAATTCCCTAATAATCATAATATATTTGGCATTTTTAATTAATAAGTAATTTCTAATATTAAAAATGCCATGGGAAAAATCATAATAAGAGATTTTTCCCTTTATTATTATTATGATAGCCAAGAATTTTATATTTCAATAAAATTCCTGGGACACCAACTTTAATTTTTAATAGTTGGTGGGCCAATGGCTATCGTATAATATATTTAATGTTTTATTATTGGCTTTTTATTTCCCCTTCCATCTTTTCATCAGTCTTTAGGTTCAGAGGTTACGCATAAAAAGCCAATAATATATTAAATCTATAATTAATATAACTATAATGGCTTTTATCTTTATAAAATCTCTTTCATGATAAAAGCCATTAATTATTTAAGATATTAATTTTTATTATGGCTTCTTTAATTTTCTATATCTTTTTATAATAAAGAAGCCATATTATAATATAAAGACTCGCCCAAAAATAACTTAAGGGCGATAAATAATAAAGAAATATAAATAATCGTGTTAACGCCTTTAATCTATAGACTAACCGATGACCTCGTATCTTATAAAAATAAAAGATACGAATGCGAATAATTTATGAGCTATAAATAATTACACTTAAAAATCCACGGTTCGTCAGTAATTTTCCTTTTATGCAGTGGATTTTTAAGGTGGGACAGGAGGGCAAAATTCCTGGAAAGATACGAAAAGATAAGGAATTTTGCTACCTTAGGACCTTTCCCTCGCTTACAGCCGCCGTGTCTGACTGGGCCCCTTCTTGGATCTGGGGCCCCCTGCTCTTGGCCTGGCGGTTGACCGTGTACTAGCGAATCATTCTCTGAGTTCAACCGCCAGTCAAGGAAGGTCCAACATTCCTACAACTTAAGAGCTACCAACCGTAAGGAATTTGAAGGAACTTGAGAATGAAAAATCATGAATAAGAAATACCAAGGAAATAAGTGACCTTATGATTTTTCATTCCTAAGAGACAAAGAACACAAATAATAAACCATTATATTTAATTATTAACTGCCTTGCTAATTTATAATCCATATCTTTTATATTTAATTTATAGCAAGGCAGTCATATTATTAATCATGAAGGCAAAATGCTATATTATAGTAATTCTCTTTTATTAAAGCATTTTGCCAGATAATAATATAATATATAATATATGATGGTGGAACACCCCAAATAATATTATTCTTTCATTTTAATATTGGTGTTCCACCATAATATAAGATATAGATTAATAATTAAGGATTTTTCCATTGAATTAAGTAAAGAATGATATTATTAATGGAAAAATCCCTCATATTTATTTATTAGTTATTATCCGGCACACCATATAATGAAAATAGATAAATGTGTGCCGGTTCATTAATTATATTCTTTTCTTCTTATTGGCTTCTTTTTCATCTATAGTCTCTTAATATTAAAGAAGCCAATAAATATAATGAAGGATCGTGCCGATGACAATAATATAATATCTTTGACAAGCCATCGGCACGGATATATCTCTTATATTGTTTTATTACATGATTGGGAATTTCTTTAATAAGTAATTCATGAATAAGAAATTCCCAAATAAAAAGAGAATTACAATGAATTATCCACCAATTTTTACAGTTAATGACATAAGAGACATTAAAATTGGTGGATAATGAATAATATAAGTAAAAGATATGGATTCTTCATTCTCATCAATCACCTATAGAATTAGAATGAAGAATCCTGTAAGCATAATTCCATTTCATTTTGCTTTCTTCCTTTCCTTTTGGTGTCTTTATGAAATGGAATTATGGATGTCTCTCTTTATTATTATTACCTCTTATCTTAAGAGGATTGCAATCTTAAATTAAAAATAGATTGCAAAGTTATCGGCTAGTCACCTTATATATTATCTGGCAGCCATTTTGAATAAAAAGAAATGGAAAAGTTAATGGCTGCCATATATTTAAATAAAAGATAGGTGGCTAGCCCATGTAAATAGATAAAGAGATAACAGATAATAAAAGTAAATGGGCTAGCCTATATAAATAAATGTTGGTTAATAAATATAAATAAATGTTGGTTGATAGGCTAGGCCATTAGATAAGAGAATATATGATAGATAAGAGAATATAAATAATGGAAAGAGAATATATGACCTAGCCTATAGCCGCACCATCATATAAAAATAAAAGATGGTGCTCAATGTCATATAAGTAAGAAATGAATAATATGATGATGAAATTTATGGTATTTCTTATTTAATTTCATCATCATTCATCTATAATCTATCTCTTCTATTTTTATAAATTGAATAGGAGAATTAATATAATTGAAGATAATAAAAAATAGAAGAGATAGATGGACAAATGTGGGCTGAGACAATAAACCCCATAAAATCAATTGATAGCGTTCTAGCCCACATTTGTCATTCATTGGTTCATTCTATTAATTTCTGTTTTGCATTCCCTTTCATTTCATATAAAACAGAAATTAATTCATTCACTTTTTTCTATTCGTACCAATAGACGCTTGGTCAGGGTAGTCTTTATATTATTGAAAAAAGTGAATGTTTATATTATTGATTTGCAATTTATTTTGCTCCTACAGTTTTTACCTTTGTGAAGTGACCCTTGAACCCTAAGAAATAAATTGCAAATATATGATGATAACACCCAGCAATTTTATGATAAGAGAATGAAATATGATGAAAATTGCTGGGGAATAATAAGAAATAAATGATATAAGAGATTATAACGCCCATTGAATAATATAAAAGAAGAAATAAATGTTGGCAATGGGCGTTAATATAATAGAATAATAAAAATATAGCAAAATCCATGAAAATAGTGATCTTTAATAATGGATTTTGCTTTATATTTAATGATTTCCTCTTTTAAATTAAGAGATAGTAAAATTATAGAGGAAATCATTAATAGAATTATTTCATTCATGGTATTTTCTAGATAATAAATAGAGATAATAATAATAAGAGATTGTTAATTCTAGAAAATACCATGATATTATTTATCTTTTATTTGCATTTCTTCATAATTTATATGTTCAATAGAATTATGATAAAGAAATGCATGATATGGCCTTTAAATTAATGGAAATTTCATTCTTCATTTTATTAATTTAAAGGTGGGCCAATGTCAAGATTGGCTTATAGACAGGGTACCTCTCTTATTATTAAAGGCTTGTATTTTGCCATCTCTCCCATTCATTTTTCATTTCATTCCATTGCATTTCATTTCAATCCAAATTCATATTCCCTTGACGCCCCACAAGCCATTTATTTATATTCTTTGGCCAAATAAGATATTAAAAGAAAAGGCCAACTTTATTTATATGATGTTAGCACAATATTATTTCTGCTTGCCATTCCATTTCATTCCATGGTTCCTTCTCCATTCATTTTCATTCACTTCGTTTCATTCAATTCATAAGTTGTGGCTGTTCAAATTACGAAGATGAACGGTGGGCATTTTTATTTAATTTCATAACTTTCATTAATAAAAATGCTGTCTCTAGGTCCATTCATGATTAAATAATATATAAAAGATATATATTTTTAATCATTCATATTCCCTATCCATTCACCTGCCAATTCATTACATTACATTTCATTCCATTTCATTCATTGTTGGTTCATATGTTTGTAGGTTGTAGGACAGCTCATTTTTATATTCATTCGCTGTTACCCTTGCCATTCATCTTCGAATTAAAATTAATTCTCGATTCATAAGTCCTTAGTCCCAATATACGAAGAAGGCAGCAAAAATAATAAAAGAGAATAATTTTTGCTGTTGAAAGATATGAAAGAGATATATTTAATATGATGTTAACACAAATAATAAGAGACATATAAATATACGGCTTTAAAGTTAAAAGCCTATAAATATATAAGAGATAGAAAAGAATAAGAGATAAAGAACAATAATATGCGGGTTAAGAAATAAGAGATATAAATATTATTAACCCGCATATAGATATAGAGATAAGAAAAAGAGATGACAGATAATTAATAATAATCCATTGACTAGAAATAATATATAAGGATGATAGCATATAGATAATATAATATAATAGATAATGGTCTATAGCTATAACAACATATAATGCTTGATAATAATATGGATAATAAAATATATGAAAGAGAGAGATAAATAATAAATTACAACCATAAGATGAAAATCAAGAATCCATAAGATATAATAATAATATAGATAAGAAATATAAAGGATAGAAATAATAAGAAGTGTATCACCAAATAATAAAAGTAAATGACCATAAAATAAGAGAGAATGTATGACCAAACAATGATATAACTAATATTAGTGAACAAGAATAATAAACCATAATATAATAATAAGAGGATTCAGCCCACAACCATTAGAATAATAATATTAAATATGTAGGAGCAATAATAGATATAATAAACCTATAAAATCATAAGAGCTATAGCAAAATACAAGATATATATAATAATAGAATGAAAAGAAATATAAATATAATGACTATAACATATAAATGCTGTAGGTGATCTTCAACCTAATATATTAATAATAGATAGATAAATGAATAATGGAATTAGATTATCGCGGTGGGAACGCGGCGCGGTCGCGGCGCAGCGCCGCGCTTCGAACGACCGTTTTTCCCGCGCCAGGAGTCGATTGCCCGGACATCCGTTGGACCGGCTCTTCGACGAGGTGGAGTTTGGGGGGGGGTTGATGTTGGAAAACCACACGCTTCGTCGATACAAATCGGAAGGCTCTTCAAGATGTCAACGGACAGCTGGCAGGACTGGTGGATGAGCCAAAACTCAAAGAAGAACTCGCCCAACTGCCACAAAACATCAACTCCATCAGTTCGGGACAATATGCCCTCGATTCGCACCTGTTCAATCTTTCATCCCCACCTTTGATGTTTTCCTATGGGGATTGGGGAACATTTTTGCCCGTAACTGTCACTGTGATATTGTGATTGGATGAGGGTGATGATTGTTGTTGCTATTAGAATTTTCCCACTCCGTCCTACATGTCTTAATTTTGGCCTTCTTGGTTTCGTTGTCGGGATGCTCAGATGAGATGGGATGGAAGTGCAAATCTGGGATGATATCATTCACATCCGACCTTGCATTTTTTAAGCGTCACTTCCGACGCAGTGTTTTGCTGCCAGCTCCATAGGTTCAACGCATATCCGAAAGTTTCGTGATGCCAGCTATGGTGTTGAGCCTTTTCGTACTTGCTGTTGCCTCCATGCATGCGAAGGCATCAGACAGCGTGACTGTGACTTCAGAGCCAGACCAAAACACGCTGAACGCCCAGATTGAGAAGCTGCAAGTATGGAATTTCAGCAAGTATGCCAATTGTGCAGTGCGACAAAGACCTGCAAGCATGGGAGAGCTCCCAGTCTCAGAGCAGGAGTATGTGGCGCTTGCAGAGCGGGCTCTGAAGATTTGGTATGCTGCGATTTTGTTGCAGCCCATGAAGAGACTCGACATTTCTGTACATTTCTGGCAGTTTTGTTTTCTTAGCATTATTTGGCTTTGTTTTTCAGGTCTGTTTTTGGTGCCAGAAATTCTGCTTGGGTGGAAAAGCTAGGAACTACTCTCCCCCCTCTGAAGAGCTGGACCTTCTGTGGCATTGCCATATTTTGGACGTGCGCAACTACGCCCACTTCCAGCAACAGCTGGGAGTAGAAATTGGGCATCCTATGGAGATGAGGAAACAAACGATCTGGCACAGTATCTGGGTTGATATATTTCATGTGGTTTCCCAACTTTACCCATCATTATATATAGATGGATTAATGTCCTCATAATTAAGCACAGAACTCATCTTATTTCACCGTAGCATCGGGCTCTTAAAGGATTTGGATGGGAGGGGGTGCCAAAGACCCCCTCCCAAAGTGCGAGCGTTGCCAGCACTTCGTGGTTCGAAGTACAGAACTCTCCATCTGCGAGCCGTGCAGGAGAGGCTGGCAACTGCAGGTATCGCTCAGAAGCGTAGTCTCCGCAGAGAGAGACGAAACTGCGGTTGTGTTCTTGCAGGAGTGTCACAGCCTCCTGGAAGAGTGGATAGGGAAGCTTCGGGAACTCGAGGCCAAAGAGGACGACTCCCATCCACAAGCTTCGAGCGCCAGAGGGAGAAGCCCGTTAAAGAGAAGAGAAGAGCCCAGAGACAAGCAGACCCAGGAGAAGCCTCACCGAGCAGTAGCACCCCCTTCGAAGGCGCCACCCACCCAACCGAGCCCCCAAGATAAGGGAGGAGACCGTGTGACCTCCCAAAACCGAACCCTTCCTCGACCCAGCCAACCACCGCGAGGTGCATCCAGAGGCCGATCCCCTAGCAAAGGGCTCTGCACGAAGAAGAAGGCGGAGCCCAAAGCATTGGTTGACACCCCCCGTGAGGTTGAGCAGCCGAGTGAAGCCGCCGCTAACAGTCCAAAGGGGAGTCAAAAGAGACTCCCAAAGCCAAGGAGGAGAAAAAGGAGAAGAAGAAGAGGAGCAAGAGTCCGTCCTCAACAAGCTCTTCCTCCCGGCGAAGAAAGAAAAAGGAGAAGAGGCGCAGGGAGAAGGAAAAGAAGGACCGGAAGAGGCGCCGCAGGTTGACGAGCCGAGATAGCTCTGTGTCGGGCTCCCGAGTGAGAGCCGCAAAGAAGAAGGATCTCAAGCGGCTGCCCACGCCACCGAGGCCCAAGAGCCCTCACACCCCGCCAGGGCCACCACCAGATCCGCCGCCAGTCCCGGCCCGGGACACCAGTCGACCCCCGCTGGCCAGGGGGCGTGGCCGAGGGTGG